CAGCCCAAAATCAGAGTTGGTACAGCAACCAGAAGGACACACTCAAACTTCAGACAGGTCTCTATCGCTCCTGTTCTCTGTTCAGATTCTGTGTGATCCTTACTTTGTATTACTCATGAGATGAGAAAGCCACACCAACCACAGTGCATTCACAGTAGAAGGGGGGGGAAAGTGCTGGAGAAAGGGTAGCAGCATGAAAAAATGTGTCCAAGAAAGGGAAAAAAGTACACACAGGATAGGTGACGTGCATACTACATAAAATAGATGGGGAAAAAGTTAGGGAAACAAAAAAGTCCAAATTGGAAATGCAGTTGAGGAATAGAAGAAAGTTGGAATTGACTAGCCAAACTGATAGCTGCAGACTTCTAGTAAACATAAGGCCTTTCTCAGCATGCCTGACTATTACGATCTATGGTTTGGGTTAGATAGGTGGTTACTAGAAAGAGGGTCCTCTGAGTGATAGCATCCTAATGATTGAACTTCACCCTAAGCAAGTGTGCCGATGCCCTTATTGTTGTCCTTTACGCGAGTTGCATCCTGTTCTCCTGGGCTATTAATGGTACTCAACCTGTCTTTTAGGATATTCCTTTACAATCTCATTGTGCTTGGCTTTTAACCTATTTGGGGGGTCTGTCCCTCCCATCCCCATTTCATAGCCACCCTGAAACTTAAAATAACTTTTAATAAATATCCATACATAAATCTATTCCTTTGAGATCAGTAAAAGACTGGACAAATTTGGAACGAGCAAGCATGAACACACTCACTGCCTCTAACATGCCCAGCTCTTCCACTTACTCCACACCCTAACGGGTGACTTCCTTGTGGGCTGTGGATTGTGACATGTGAAGCTTGACTTCTGGGTTGTTTGGGGGCTAAACAAACCAGTGGTTATAGTCCATGGTTTATTGTTTTCACTTTAAAGCAGTAATATGCAATTTGGATTCCTGGTACACCTAAACCCTTGAAATCACTCAGTATACCAAACTAGAGATGATGTTAAATGTGTCTCTGGATGTAACATGCATTTTTTAAAAAAGCCAGAAAACATCAGCTGCAATGTGATGGAAGCTACACCCAGGGGATACCTGATTGGCAGATAGCGATTTGTATCTAAATATTTGACCTGCCAAAATTACAAAATACAGCTAAAGATGAATAAACAGTAAGAACCTGTCTTTGCTACCATTAATTAATCATTCCAAATCATAGTGGCAGGTGCATTATTTCTGTGCTAAATTTTTTGAACATAAAAGGATTCCTTGGAATTAAATGAATATCTTGGGCCTTGTGAACAAACTTAAAATGCTTATCTCAGCATTAGTTATTCAGATGAAATGTAGAACATATAAACCTGGGGGCTGAGGAGGTTTTGAGCAAGAGACATGATAGCATGTTACCTTACCTGCAGAGCAGTTGTCTTTGTATACATGTGCTTGTCTGTGTCCATATCCCGTTTAGTCAATATATTCACAACCCAATCCTGTGAATGCTTACTCAACAGTAAATCCCCTTGCATTCACTGGCTCTTTCTCCTAAGTAAGCATGCATACTTAGTAAATACACACACACACACAGGATATAAACCACATGCTGTTTGAAAAGAGAAGATGTTGCAGAAAATTTATCCCGACAGCTGGAATTTTAAGTTTTACATTGCAGTGTGGGAACCATTCATGGTTTCCTATTCTGTCATAAATGAAGTGTCTAAATTTTATGGACTGGTGACTAATTACCAGTATTGACTTTCAGAAGATACCCCTTCTAAGCTGGGAACTGAAGTACTTCCCAATTTATCACTCTTACACTACATACCACACACACACACAGCCCATGTATTTTTATAACTGTAATTAGAGTTTTGCTTCAAAACAATGGAACAAGCCACTGGAGTGATTCCCATAGAAGACTTCATCATAATTGAAAGCCCATGTGGACTTTTTCAGCAAAGTTAAACATACTGCCTACTCACTTCCCAGTGCTTCTGTTCCCATATCTTAACTAGAAAAAGGCACTGTTATTTTCATGGACATGAGAATAATGCATATTCTCCATGGGAATCTGTTTGAAATCGAGGATTTTGTCTTAGGGAAATAAAGTTTCTTAGATTCAGCCTGGCAGCTGAGATTGCATGACTTTCTCAGACAGCCAGTTGCTGTGACATGAACTTGATCACAAATTGAAATTGTAGCAGTTGGACTTACCTGTTACCTTGGGGCCAATTTTGGCACAATGGCAGAACTTCTGCAAACTTTCTCTCCTCAAAGCTGCTTTTTAAACTGCTTGTCCCTGAGACCAGTTACTTCTGAGTAACTGAAGTACCTGGATATTTCATCTTCTGAGCCCCCACCCCCCTGGAGGAAAAAAAAGCCCTTAAAATACTTATGGGTGGAAAGCACAGGTGAGAGTTGGTGCCAACTGTCTATCCTGTCTGTGCAGCACTGCAGCATATCTGGAGGACACAAATCTGGGAAAGAGTGCACTAAAGAGTACTTCAGTTAATTTTACTGGTATTTAGCAAGCAACAATTTTTTTAAAAAAATCAACCCCAGAAGTACCCCGTATGAATTTTTTTAACAAATAACACCACTGAAATATTGGAGGGATGAAATTAAGGCACGCTTGATTTCATTTGTTATAAATCAAATTAATGATATATAGATGTTTTTCTTAGAATACTTGGCACTTCCCTTTATTGTTAAAATTAAAGCAAGGGGAAGGTGCTGAAAAGTCTAGATATATTAACACATTTTAGCAACCCAAAGAATTGTGAATGATATGCTGAGAAGAGCTTATCCACAACTTTGAAGCAGACAGAGTAATACTGCATTTGCAAATAGCAGCCACTCATTTTTACTACTAAATTTACAAAAAGGGAAAACTGTCATCACCACATCAGCTGAGCGAAGTACAGTGAGAGGTGATATGGAGAAGCAGGTTCCCTTATTAAGACCAAGGAGCCTTCAGCAGGAGCAGAGAGTACTGGTTGATGTGTTCTGTCCCAGTAGTAAATCAGTATGTTCCTGGCTTGTAGAGCTGGCGGCCCTGTAGTTTCTTCCTTCGGATGCTGCTACACAGGCAGAATCCCCACCAGACGTCTGCTCAGGACGCACTGTGCATGTTTGGGATCTGACAACTGTATCTTACATAGGTCATCTCCCTAGCTTGCCAGCAAGGCAGCAAACCAGTACTCCTTAAGACATGTACAGCATTGCTTTTTTGCAACTGAAGTCATTTTCCATTAAGTTCTGGCTTGGAACCTTGGAGCAGGCGATGCTCCAGAAACATAGGAGGATCCCTGACATACTGAGTCAGACCTTGCGTCCATCCAGCCCAGTACTTTTCAGCACTGCCTGGGAGCAATGTCTTTCCAGCATTTTAGGCAGGATTTTTTCCTATCCTTGGCTGGAAATGCCAAGAACGGAGTCTGGGACTCTCTGCATCCCAAGCATGTTCTCTTCTTTTGTGCTACAGCCCTTCCCCAGAGCTCAGCTGGAGCTTTTCAATTTGTCAGCTGATCCAAGTGTTTTGTTTACCTTTCAAACTGGGTCTGTATTCTGGAACCACAATCCAAATTAATTAGACACATTGGCATGCTTGATCTGAAAACAGAACATGTAACTCAAGGATCTGCACACATTCCCTTTCTCCTGGTCTCATGTGCATTCTTGTGAATGATCGTACCCTGCCAAATAGTATATTTTGAAGGAGTGAAGTACAAGAAAAGTGCCATTGAAGCAAATAAGCTGTATGTAAACTGAGAAACTCATAAATGCCATGGAGGCCTCTAGTTCCCTTCCACTTTTAACCTGGATTGTAAATGTGTGCTTTAGTGAATGTAACACAATGTGTCAGTTGTTCTAAGGATTTAGGTCCAGCAGTATTACTTACATGATGTAGAAAGGTTGGGCATGAGCTTTACTAGGTATTTCAGTCTGCAAAATTGTTCTATCAAAATGACATGATTTACCATGCCGTACTCATTTTTATTTGAAACTTTTTAGTGGTGTTTAGTGGTAAAACGCCCATGTCCTTTTGCCAAGGTTAATTTTTCAAAAGAAGCTACAAGCCAGTAAATTTGGTGCCAAGCCAGGTTCTTCCATTGTACCCTAGAACCCAGGGAAAGAGTCTTTTGAAATTGTGGAGCAGCATCAACCATACCCTGCAATGGAAGCCCTGGGTGCACATGATTGCACAAACTTACATGGTGTGCAGCCATTGATGTTTTAGAGAACATGGTTGGCGGGAGAGTACTGGGAATTGTAGGATCTATTGTCTAATCACCCATAAGATTGCACTGCAGTTAAGGGCAAAATATCTGCACAGTCTAGTAAGTCACAGAAAGGGTCACCATTCCAACTTCAGAAACGTACTTCAAGGTCAGAGCTAGGAGTCCAACCTCAGAGCGCCCTCCACCCACCCTCACCTCTGACACTGTTCCTTTTGCACTGACCACAGTTCCAGAAGACTGGCCTCAGAGCCAGAGGCTTATGGGCCTTCTAGGAGGTGCAGAAGGGAAGGCTCTGCCACAATATGGTGTGTCTGCTGGTGCCTCAGGCCGTTTTGCTCATGCACCAGGGGAAAAGAGGTAGATGATCAAAATCAGTGAACTTGTTTGTAGGACAGGAGAAGCTCTGAGACAAGGTCTGCTTCTGCACACTTTCTGCTTTTTGTGGGATGCTCATATCCTTCAAACTCGAAGGGTTACAGCAGCCACACTGGATGGCACTGCCCAAGCATTCCACAGATGGGTGTCAATTAAGAGGAATTAAGTAGTTCCCAGATCTATGTAAACTGCATAAGATGAAGATGAAATCAACATTGGAAATAATAATGCTCAAGAAATAACCTATATTTTTGCGAAGTCATTGCTCAGTATATGCACTTTTTCCAAGCACATTTTGAATGTTAATTGAAATTATTGTTGTTCTTTTATTTTTTAAAAAAACCTTATGCTTTTGGGATCACTAACCAGAAATTGTCTTCTTTTTCTCTTTCAGAAATTGAGGCCAAGGAAGCATGCGATTGGCTGCGGGCAGCAGGGTTCCCACAGTATGCCCAGCTTTATGAAGGTAAGCAAGAGTATTTCTCAAGTTGACTTTCTGTATCATTGCTTTTGTTTTTACAAACAATTTATCCCCACCATTCTTATTTCAGATAGGAAATATAATTGCATACAGGTTGATAAGAAGCAGAATCAAGCCTGCTTCAACTGTGTGCGGGCGTGTCACAGGAATGAGCTCTGTTAGTGCTGGATCCACTGCACCAGTATTATTGTCAAGACAGATTCTGGATTTTGGGAGTATGGTGGAGAAATGCTGCATCAGTCCTTCTTGTTTTGGGGCATGTATTGGATTATGGAAAGGCCGATCCCAGTAGAGGAAGACACCATGAGAAAGAGCCCCTCCTAAATTGCCTGAGTACCCCATGTCCTGTAGTTAGCAGAAAAGACTGTTGTTGTAATCAAGGCTGAATTATAAAGAAAAGGGAAAGAGGCAGCCCATCTTTAAGAACCAGCACTGACCTCATTCTCTGGTTTGGGAGCAGCAATTTCGCTGTGGAAGCAGCTGGGCTAAGAACAAACCTGTAAAGGTTGGGGAGGCAGAATTGAGGTTGACAGTGAAGAGGCTGAAGCAGGAACACTTGAGTTTTCCATTTTTCTACTGTTCTGCAGTATTCATGCACAGTGTCTTGGGATCCTGTTGGAATTTTGTTTTCTATTTAACATTGAACCAACAGGTGGTCCCCTGCTTAAAAACATTTCCAGATCCATGTCCTGAACTAAGGATGGCAGGTAATCAGTTTCTCTTGCAGAGCTGCACATTCATACACATGTGTGATGCGTGTGTTCCTTTGGAGACCATGCCATCTCTGTAACCAAGGTACCCTTGCTAGTTCTTTTGTGGCTACTGACCACTAAGAGACTGTAGATCTGAGTGGCCGATATATGGGCCATGATCTGCATGCCCTGCCATCACTCAGATTTGGAGGTGTGGTGGCATTGGCAGTGGCAAAAAGGACACTATTTTTCTTTAAAACAAGGCACATGGCAGAAATTTCAGCAGTGGAGGTGCATGACCTCCTGTGAGTTCAGGGGAGAATTGGCTCTTAGGTCCCCAGGTGATTCTAGACCTTAATACAAAATCATGCCACCTCTTAGCATTAAAATTCTATAAATTTCTCAACCTCCTGAATTTAAGAATGCCTGTCTGGTGGGTCAAATACATGTACTCAAGATCTAGACGTGCCTTTGCAATGAGACTTGATTTTCAATATTCCTGTGTGTGAATTATCTTCTATATGTATTTAGCTAAACTGTTTACAAATTGGTAGCAATGAAGCAGTTTCATAACACACCCCCTTGGGCTGAAGCTGGTTAAAAAGGAGTTTTAAACATGCCAATGCTAAGGCATGAGAAAGTGTTTTGCTGTGTTTTGTGTTGTAAAAATCTATGGAGCTGCTCTAACATTTCTCACAGTTGGGTTGAAGAAACCAGCATCACAGCCTGTTCTCAGCTGCTAGTTATAACTGCATCGAGATGGTTCATTATTTAGGGTTAGAAATTGCAGCAATGCAAAGCAGGCATTCTTGAGGAATGATTGAGATGTGCTTTAATTTGCAGCTGCGCTGGCAGCACTAGACAATAATAGCACTTGCAAAGACAACACTTGGCAGTACTTCTGTTTATCTGTTTAGGAACTGAGTTTCCTCCTATTATGTTCTTCACATTTGAGCCTGACACTGTGCCAAGAAAAGCATTTTAAAAAATCTGTGCAGGAATGCTCTAGCTCCAAGATAGGCAATCCAGTGCCCTCCAGATATTTTTGGACTACAAGTCCTATAAACACCATCCAACATGGCTCATGATCAGATTATAAGATTTGTAGGCCAGAACACCTGAAGGTAGTCTTGTTGCTTTCTACCTGCTCTGTTGTCCAGTTCCTTTGTTCAGAACCCTGTATTTGAATGCTTTAGTTTCTGGACCTGTTAAGGTCCCAAATTTCTGGGAAATTTTTCTCCAGTGTGACTGTGGACAGAGAAATGGGAAACTTTAGAGTGTTACTTTCTAGGATTAAATATACAACCTCTTTCAGTCCACAGGCTGGATTCAATTTTGCACATGCTCCTGGGAGCTGCATTATAGTGGTAGATGGAATCTACTGTCAAAGAAGTGGGGACAGTGGCAAAAAGAGGACTAAAAATATAAATACAAGTACAGCATATAATAGAAGAGGCGTTTCAGCTTTTTGGATTGGCAATCTGCATAAAAGCTGTGAAACTGCCAAACAATTGGTGCTGAAGGAAGGGAGATGGCACCGAGAAAAGGAACGTAGCCATCTGGGGAACCCCAAATGCAGAATTTGTCCCCCAGGAAGTCAGTTTTGCTCCATGGTCCTGAGGTTCTGCACCCCTGTTTTGAATAAACACTCCTCCACCCATACCATGGCCCCAGTAAAAATCTATACTTGCTGAGAAAGAAAGACCTGAATGGCTTGTTACTGACAAGGTAAACATAGGCCAAGGGCCACGAGTTTGTGTACGCCATTGTTTTTGTGGTCCAAAACAGGAAAGGTATTTAAGTCTCTAACAGCAACATGTGTTGTTTTGAATGAGTTGCAGTCTGTGGAGGCTCAACTTGGGCCTTCTGTCCAGTGAATGGTCACTCACTTTCTCTCTGAAAGTTTACTATATGATTTGCCTCTAATTCCATTTTTGAGTGTATTGCTGTAGGTTCTCTAGGCATGCAATATTTTGAAGAAATGTTCATGTAAATGCAATGTAAAATTCTTGTAAGTGGAGGATCCCATTGAGACACAAACTCAGGGCTAAACTTGAATTAATTTCATAGTGTGTAGCTGAGGTTAATCTTTTTTAGTCTAGTGTGTTTAGCCCAAATCAGATGGGTCTATTGTGCATGAAGAAGGAAAAATTAAACTTATGCACCATTTCTCCATCAAAATTCTCCTCCGCACAGGATTTTTTAAAATGGGGGCTGCTTTTTGCTTTCTTTCTCCCCCCCCCCCCCCCCGCCATGCACTGCGGAGAGGATTTCAGAGTAAAATACTTTGTGGAGGTGGGGCAAATATAATCTCCCACTACACACTGATCCTGATCAAAATTGGAGCTGCACACATTTAATCTAGTGTGAGAAAAGAATTACACTGGCTTGAACAATACCCTGCAGGGATGGAGGGTATCTGTCATGTTATAAAAGGGCCCATATTTTCAGATGGAAGACTATTTATATGAGGGAAACCTCTTTCCTCTTACTATGCTTGTAGTCCGTGTGCTGAGTGTATTGGACTGAGGTTCAAGAGATGTGGGCTCTAGTCCCCACTAGGCCATGAAGGTCACTGGGTGATTAGATCCAGTCAGTAATGCTCAATCTGACTGACCTCACAGGGTTGTTGTGAGGATAAAATGGAGAGGAGGAAGACCATTTAAGCCTCTTAGGCTTCCTTGCAGAAGGAAAACATTGGGATATAGCCATAGGATGAATCAATCCATCAATCAGTCCAGTTCCTGTGGATGCAGGGATAGCAGATGTTATCTTGATTATAAGGGATTGCAGTTCACCAAGAAGCAATCCCACTTCGAAGCATATGGGGGAAGAGCCCTCCTGGGATACCTATTTGGAGCCTGCTGCTGACAGTGCGAGGAATGCAGGCTCAAGATCCATCTGCCATTCAGGGGGGATTTGTAGGGAATGATAAATAATATGCATCTGTTTGCAGTGGCAGGGCAGCTGTAACTTTCCAGGCTTTAGCCAGTGCGGTTGCTCCCTCGGTTGCTTCCTCCGTGCTCTCTCCCAAGTGTTTATCCAAGCCAGGTCTGCATAGCTGGTGAGGCAAATGCCGCCCATCAGCCATGCATTGTGGCTTCCCCGGAGCTTGACAAGCCCTCTGTTTTAGCAGTCCCCAGAAAGCTGCACACACAGGAGGGCTTTCCAGCCTTCGGCTTGGGCTGCTGTTCACAGCTGGTGGGCCTCCTTCGCGGCTCCGTTTTTTCAGCCTTCGGGACACAAGTGTGTGGGCCTGGCCGCGCACATTGATTTTTTCGAGGAATTGAATCAGCATGAGGTTTCCAGCAGCTTGATTCTTGTGCTGCTCACAATTCCAAACACGACATCCGTATCAGTCTATTTTTAAAAAATCTGTTTGAATATTCACAAAGCACTGTTTTATTTCTTTGCTTTGTTGCTTTTCAGGGTGGCTGCTGGAATTGTTAACCTATTGCCTAAATGCAGCATATACAGACTCCTAGAAAGCTTCCTCAAGAAGTGGATGTTTGCTTTAAAGTTCTTTTTTCTTTCTTCTCATGGAATTGTGTACTTGGCTTGCAACTCTGTGCTTTTCCCCCCTTTTCTTTCCTTCCTGTGACACATGGGAACTTTCAGTCGCCAGTCCTGTGTGTTAAAGGTTCTATATGAAAAACAGAGTTTCTGTCACACATCCAAGATGGTATGAAAGCAAATTTGTCTTGTAGGAGCTGCTTCTTTGTATCTGATGTCTTGGAGACAGCCAGTTGATTTGAAATAAGCCATCTTCACTAATAACATGCTTTCTGATTCTCCGTCTGTTTTTATTCCTACAGATCTTATATTTCCCATTGACATTGCTTCAGTGAAGAGAGAGCATGACTTTCTGGACAGAGATGCCATTGAAGCCTTGTGCAGGTCTGTAGAAGAGGATTGCTTTGGTAATAGGATACTTGAATAAAATGAGTTGGACAGCCTCGGCTAGTATATTTATTGCCTAGTCACTCATTCCAAATATTCCAATAAATATTCAGGGAATTTATTGCTGTATATTAATTGCAATTGAATGGTGCATTGGTGTTTTTGGAAGGACCATGGGAAGAGTGACTCTTCCCAAACTTGACTTCATGGAATTGGCTCTGTGGCAGGGAAGGACAGTCTGTGGTGTTCCAAATGTTTTGGCTTACAACTTTTATGATCCCTCACCATTGTCTGTGCTGGCTAGGACTGATGGGAGTTGTAGGCCAGAACATCTGGAGGGCTGCAAGTTTCCCAGCCCTGCTCTCGAGATAGCCAGGAAATGCTCAGTATAAAAAAAGGGTCTTCAGTGATGACTGCCCAGCCCCTAAACCTTCCATCTACCTTGAGCCTAAAAACTACAGTCAGTACCTACTTTGGACGAATGTGTTAATTCCCCGAGCTCAGACTGCCACAAAGGCCTAAGACAAAGCATGTATGTGTGTGTGTGTCCATTGAGGGATTGGTTTGCTTCTTCTCTATTCCCATCTGAGTTCTAAAGTTATCATGGGGTTTATGTGGAATTGTGCTTTCAGATTAATGTTTTCAGTGGTCAGTTTCCTTCACCCTCTCTCTGTGGAGCTATAAACAAAAGAAGAACCCTGCTGGATCAGACCAAAGCCTTATCTGTTCCGGCATCTGGTCGTGCACTAGTGGCAAACCAGATGCTCACAGGAAGTCCATAAGCAGGACATGCTGTTGTTCCCTCGTAACTGGTGTCAGAGGCACGTTGTCTCTGACCAGCTCTCATGTCCAGCAGCCATTCTCAAATCGTACACCATTAATTTGGCTAATCGCTGTCTAAATCCATGTAAGCTGTCATTATCCCTTTGAATTCCATTGTTTAATTATGGACTACATGAAGAAAAATCAGCAGGGACAGATCACATTAGGATTTAAACAAGTGACAGGGGTTGCCCAGAAAAAGTTGAACTGGAAATTGGTTCTAGAGCCTTTTCCTTTGCTTTAAAGAAAAGGTTCCACCACTTCTTTGTAGTAGCTTCCTATCTGTCTTATCTTTTTTCAGCACAGTTTCTATATGTTGTTAAATGTTTCTTCATTTTTTTGCATTGCTAATATATTTTTATTCACGATGTGTATATTTACCGACTGTCTTCGGTGTTTTCACAGTAGCGGTGCCACACTGTAGCTTCTTGTGCTTGTGGTTGCTTTGAGCTAAGTAATAATGCCAAAGCACAAGATGACTAACAAATCTTGTGCAAACATACCTAATTTCCTACACTGAAGAGATGAAATGTGGCACTTCCCTAAGGAAAGGGAAACCAACAGTAATCACAGCCTTAGTTTCAGTTTTCCTTCCATTTGTGATTAAGAATGGGAGAAATAGAGGGCAACTGCTCCATGTATAAATTTGCTCTGGAGCCAATTGCCTTTTGCACAGGAAGGGGGTGTCATGCCTTATTTCTCAGCTCCTCTGTGAGTGGTCCCCTAATCATTCACCGATTTCCCAGCGATTGCATTGTTTCCCACCCTCCCGTTCTAAAAGGTGCATATGGAAAGTCACCACATACTTCTTTAGATATGAAAGGCAGAATAAGTGGGGGGCCTAGGCCCCTGCCTATGCCCTTCCGCCCTACGGAAGTTTTCTTCTGCAAGCAGTGTGTCCCAATTCATTTGTTCAAGTGGGCTGCACCACTCACACGTGGGAGAATTAGCATTCCGGAATTCCGGAATCAGCATTTCTACTCATTTTGGGTAATCCCCAAAGCACTGTGTGGATTCCACATATGATGTTGCTTGCACAACAGAATTGGCAGAGTCTGCCCCTCTGGATTCTCCCCAAACACTTATGTGAAGTCCTCCACTCCACAAGACTCACTAAAGCTGAAAAAAGGTGACTCTAACGGCAATTCCACATGGTTAGCTGCCTATCTGCAAACGTGACTTTGCAAAATCTCAGTTGCCTATTTCAGGGCGCTATGTTTAACTTGCTGCATAGACACTGTGCTCACCCCTGAACATATCCATCAAATGGGAGATAAAATCAAATGCCTCCTCTCATGCCTTTCCAAATCAGCTCTGGGGAAGCTCAGACATGTATAGCAAGAAAGGAGCCAGCTCACCTGCAGTCTATCACTTGTTAACTAAGCAGGCATAATAATTGAGCTATCTAAATAAAGAGGCTGTGCATTCCTTTAAAATGGATATCTATGCATCCTCAGTAAAAGAGTTTTTCAGTAATAACCAGGCTAGCTGACCAAGTTCTAGATTCAGCCAGTATGTTATCCTCTGCTGGTTTGGAACAATCTTTTTCCAGAAATGGAAAAAAAAAATTTTTTTGCATACCTCAAGGGACTCTCAGTAATGGCCCTTCTCATGTCATCTCCCTTGTTATTCTTTTGGCACCCAACACATCAACACAGAGAATTCACACTTTACTGTCAACAGGAGTTAGGAGTGAAAAACAGTATTTTGTTGTTGAGGAAATACAATGATCAACTGAAGGCCCACATTCTTCAAGTGGAATTTTCACCTGAGTTTTAGAATTGGTATCTACAAGAAGTTAAAAGTTTCTAAATTCATCTTGAAGGAAAGCAGTTTCATTTATTATAAGAAGAAAACCATTCATTTTTATCCTGATTCATAAATAGTAAATGTGACTCTTGCATGATTTTCAAGCTTAAAGAAAAATAAGAAATGTTTTAAGGGAGGAAAAAATCCTTGCCAGTAGATTCTTTTGTTTAAGGAAACAACATCCAGAAAGCATGCTTTCATTTGATTAAACTAACAATTGTGATATTTTGGCTTCCTATTGTAACCTAGTTTGCTATGGTTTACCAAATGTAATTTGCACATTGGTTCAAGGGTATTGCTGTTCAGAAAACTGAACTTGTGGCATTTGAAAGAACCAGACTGTTGTCTTTGTCTTTCCCCTTGTGATAGTTTAAAAGATGTACATGGAAATTTATATTTGTCCAAAACAACCTTTCCCAACCCGATGCCCCTCAGATGTTTTGGTCTACCACTCTCAGTATGCCTGACCTTTGACCATGCTGCCTGGGGCTGATGGGAATTGAAATCTAAAACATCTGGAGGGCTTCGAGTTGGAAAATGTTCCTTTGCGGTCTGGCCAATGTCATATTTTCAGAGTATTGTTCCCATGATTTTTTCTCCTCCTCCTCCTCCTCCTCTTCTTATGAATGATCAGATTTACTCTTTCAGGATCAAGTGCCTACTAATAACAATACCCCTTTACGCTAGAGTGGGGTTAGAAATTAGCTGTGTAGTGAAATCTTATCAGAAAGCAAAAGGATTTGAACTGTAATCTTCCAGATATGTTTCAGGAGCCTTACTTTGTAAAATATTGTTTGTACTTGGGTCTTGAAAATGTCTCTAGATAGCAACTAGGAACTTCAAAGGTGTACACTGACTGCAAGATACGTGATCACTCAAACTACTGCATTAGTTTTTGTACCAGAAGTAATGGAAATCTACTGTAATTTCACTGTAATCTGCTCTTGAAAACTCTTGGAAGCACCAACTAACTCAGCTTTCTGGCAGGTTTGCCTAAGTGGAACCATATTGCATCTGTTCTGAAGGAGCAACTTTGGTTGCCCATTAGCTACCAAGCCCAGTTAAAGGGCCTTACATGTAAATCAAGTCTCATGAGAGCCAGGGTAATATGGTGCTTGGAGTGTCAAACCGGGTTCCAAGAGACCCAGGTTCTAGTCCTCACTGATGACTCACTGTCAGCCCAAGCTACCTCACAGAATGACTGTTGTGAGGATAAAATGGAAAGGAGGAATACTGTGTCACCTAGGGCTCTTTGCAACATAAAAAATGGTGGGATATAAACACTGTAATATCAGTTGGCCCATGCATTCAGGTAATCAAAGGATGGTCTTTTCCTTATTCCTTCTATAAGAGAAGTATATAAATCATCTTCAAAAGTGAAGGCCTTTTCTTTGGTGCCAGCCTGACTTTAGAATGTCATTACATCAGCAATTATGCCTGCCACTAATATTTGTACATATCACATTAAAACCTTTCTATTTGCACAAGCATGTGAGAGGGATGGAATCAACAATTCTATTTTTAAATTTAAATGAGTATTTTTTGAGCCAGCTGAAATAGTTTTATGCTGTTCAATTTATCTGTTTTGGTAATTTTATTGTACCAAATGTTTGCTTTTTACATGCACTGCTCTGAAATTCTCTTGGGAATGAAAGTGTGGTGTATTTATTTTTTAAATAAAAATATGTATGGCTGGCTAGTTTTTCAGTATAATGGTGAGCTTCACAAGATACTGTTCACACAAATGACAGCTTACCCTTTGGTCTGATTTGTACCTGACACTAACACATTGTATAGGTTGTTAAATTCTGAGTTGTAGTGTGTGAAGATGGCCATACTAACAAACCATGATTTGTGAACCATGAACAAACAACAAAATGAACCCAGGTCTGGTGATGGGTCATGAACTCTGAGTTCTTTAAACCATGAGTTGTCATGAACCCAGAACTATGGGTTGTCTCACAGGCAGCATGAATAAGTGATTTAAAAGAGCTGCTCTACATGCCAGTAATATTGTCCCACAGAGGCATAGAAGGAGGGGATGAGTTTAGAAGATGAGAAACAACCTATGGATTGAGATAACTTTGTTGCCTTACAGTTGTCTGCCAGGTAGACCTTGGGTATAGCAACAGACTATACGTTAAGCAATGCATTAACATTATGTGGAAACCACACCACTGCACAAGTGGGGAAATAAACAATTTCCTTTCTCAAAAATAAATGAATAACTGTACGTTTTTAATGGTTATCCCATTTCTAATATTTACTTGTGATTGTAGGATTAGCAAATAATGTCAATTCCTGAAGCACTTCCATATAGTCTATGGGTTCTTAATGGATTTTTCAGGATTCAAGCTTTCTTTTTTCTCAAGAAACTTGTTTGTAGTCCTCATGTCTGGGGTGGATAAGTTGGAAATACTTATGGTCAGTGAGAAAACAAATAGTTTCTTTTGCTGTTAGGCTTTGTAAGGCCACAGTCTTACATCCACTTACCTTCAATAAGTCCCACTGAATTCAATGGGTCATACTTTAGAGTTGACATTTATAAAGTTGCTTTGAAAATCCCTTTCTGGGCTTTCCTGACTTTAGCATCTTGCTTTAAAGCAAGTTTCAACTGTATTTCTCAGCAAGCATGTCTGTTTGTGGGGAAATCAGTTTCCATGCACTTAACTTGTCAACAAAAAGGAATTTTCCTTCAGTTAGCCTATGCTTCTCACTTTGCAGTGTTTCAGTAATGCAGGAATTGGTAGCATGGCCTTCTTAGTCACAGTAGCATCCCACCAGAACCTCCCAGTTTGCCAACTGGACCTAGACCTTTTCTTCCTCCCCATTATTGGCAGTGCCAGATCTTCCAACCTACATACACTTGTATTATACCTCACAGGTTTGTTGTGAGTATATGGTTGAGAAGAGGAAGAGAATTGTGTAAGCTGCCTTGAGTTCTTTTAAAGGAAAAAAGGTGGGGTATAAATATGGGAGTTGCACTCAATGGCCTTCATGGCCCCTTCCAACTCTCCTATCATTCTATGATAAATAAATTTAAAAATAGTGTGGTACCTCTCCAGCAGAAGTACTTAAAATTGGGCAGGAAAACAAGGAACTTTCCTACTCTTTTGTGTTCCTTTTTGTAAAGCATCCATGTGAAGTTTAGTTGTAAAGTTAGCTCTGTGAAAATAGTTTTCACAGTCTCTACACTTATCTCCTCCAGCTGCCCAAGGCACTTATTTTAAAGAGGCAGGCTACAGATAATCTGTGAAATCAAAGACACTCTTATCAGACTGGCTGAAAATATGTTTTCTCTGACAGATCAAAGTGGTTGAGCTGGTTAAATGCAACAGGTTGAAACTAGATAAAACCAAATAGAGGGACTAATGCTGTAAAATGTGGAAATGTTTATGTAAGACCTAGAAAACTGTATTCTGCACTAGAGGTTCTTATTTTTTTAAGCGGTATGGAAGCCATCTTAATTATTTTTGAGCTCTCTTTATTTAGTCCATAACAAAGTATTTGATTTTTTTCTTTTGCCTTAGAGACATTTAATGCATGCACACAGACATACACATCAAATGAATCTATGTTTGCTGACTCAAATTGTGGAATAACAGGGAGTCTTTCTGGGACAGGTCAATGACAGATCCAGCCACAAGGAGGAGTTCTTTTTTGCTTTTGTTTTTATAACTTTTTTTCCTTCTTTTTTCCACTAACCACATTTTATCCTTACATCTGAACTGTGATTAATCTTTACCATGGCTTAGTGAGGGGAAAACAGACCGCATCAACCATGGTCTGAAGCTGCCTTTTTTCACTAAACTGAAGGTGTAACTCAACCCAGACAAACTGTGGTTAGACTTAACATTAACAAGGGTTACTTAAGGTTAGTTAAAAAATGGAAACAAAAGCTTCCAATCTCTTCTGGCGCAACGGCAGCAGAGAGGAGGGCTGGTGTGGCTGAAGCTCATGCAACACTAGTGCTAACAGCAAGAACTGTTTATGTGCCAAGTAATTCCAAACCTGAGCCAGCCAACTCTGATAAGTTCTGGCCTGAAGACTTACATCCCTTGAGGTCGTTCAAAAGGTTCTCATTGGCCTCCAGCTGTTCATTAGCGTTGCCCAAGGAGATGATAGTATTCACAAACACATGCATGGAGTATTTATCCTACCTGATAAAAGCTATTTTCCTGGGGAGCTTACTTTAATGAAACAGCTGTATTTCTTTTTAACCCAGCAAGCCATTTTTACATGTGGTATAACAGTATGAGAGAACTGCTACAACCTTGAGTAAAGGGGAAGGTTCTGATTTTCTTTCCATTGGAGAGAGATTAGCAAGAGTTGTCCTGGGGCTACAGTGAAAATAGTATATTACATGCTGAACAGAACAATATAAGTACCTGATGTGTGGAAAATAAGGTACCTTCTTTGAGGTTTTAGTTTCATAGACGTAGAAAGACATGGAAAGCAAGGAAGCAAGCAGCAGTACTCAGTACTGCGCACGAATTCAGGTTGAAAATATTTTTTGTCTGATGCATGAATGATGTTCCTTTCCTCCCCGGCTTCAAGATGTTGTGTGTAAAGCAATACAATAAGCAATACAATACAATACAATAAGCAATACAATAAAGCAAAAGTAAAGAAAATAAATTACAATTCCTGTTATCTGAATCTTAATATATTTTCTGATCCTTCAAAACTAGTGTGCACCCCAGTAAAATTATACAAGTACAACTTAAAACCAACTGTTGCATAGTACAGTTCTGTTTAGGCAGGCAGCCACACCATTTCTGAAAATTCCCCCACCCCTTGATTTTATGCATTCTCCCACTGAGGAACATGCTGAGTTCTCACTAAGCTGTTTTTGGACGCTTTCCTAAAGATGTTTTGCACTTCAGCAAGCTTTGAGTTCTGTTTAAGTTTTTTAAAATCGTATGGGCAATAGTCAGTGTTGCTTATGCACTAACAGGAACTGCAGTTAATGCAACATGAAGCTGGTGCTCCTACAGCAACTGGAAATGAGCCAGAACACTCAATGCCGGAACGGGGAGTTTGCACAAAGTGTTGCTGACTTCTCTTCCAGAAACAGCCATTTCAGATCATTTAGTGCTTTACCAAACACTAACTTCCTGTTGCATGGACAGTCTGCCCCATGGATGTAACAGAATGGGTCTAGCTTTCACAGGTTTAGCATACTGTCAGCTAAAGTTACAAGGTAGTAGTCTCTGTCTCTCCCAAGTCCATTTGGATACAGCACATACAAAACTTGCAGTGTCAAATCCTAGTCACTAGCAATTCATGGACATGCTTTTTGAACTATTCATACTATATGGAAATTGTGTTAGATGCAGACAGTTTATTCCAAAGTATTTAATCCCTTATTTCATGTAGTTTGCTGCATTCCAAGAAAGGTCAAGTTTTGGAAAGCACCAGTAGTTTTCCTCTAGGAAAACAAGAACCTTGTATGACCATACTCCGGTTAGCCCAATTTAATGGTCGCTGGTTGAACAAGCTCTCCTTTATGGTCTTGACTCATAAGGAACTGATTTAAGAAAGCTTGTTCTTACGTTTCTGCATCTGTATCCCACCCACTCCACAAAATCTGGTCTCCAGCTGATGTAATGTGGTGTTAATTAAGCATAAATGCTATTTTTGAGGCTCCCCTTTGTTCATTTCTATGTAAATAAGCTTAGTGAGAGCTTCTGCAATAATCCATTAGTTGAAATAGTTCCTATCACAGAATGACATGTTTACTGTTAATCGTGTGTGTTTTTTCCCCCCCTGTAGGCGTTTAAACACTTTAAACAAATGTGCAGTGATGAAGCTAGAGATCAGTCCTCATAGGAAACGGGTAAGTGCTTTTGACAGATCTGTCATGGTACTGTAAAGTATTTGAGGGCATTTCCTTGCAGCCTGAACTTGTGTGTGTTTTCTTGGAAGTAGGCCCCATTGAGCTCATTCAGATTTACTCTCTTGCCAAATGAGCACAGGATGTCAGTCTCTAGCTAAAACCTTAAAGACAAGAGAATCAGGAGTGGCACTGCCTTCCCCATAAAGATGTGCGGGATTCCATAGGCCCTATTCGGGCATTTTGCAACTGTAGAATGCAGGTTTTGGGAGGCCTTGGGAAAGACACCCTCAGTGGGGCTGTCTGAGAAGCACGGTTGTGCCCCAGTGCTATTGCTCCTCCAGTTCTTTTTCATTACTGGTCCCACTTGCCTGCAGGGAGACCTATTGTTTCGTCTCCTGCTGGGCCAGAGAGAGAGACAGGCAAACAAGCAGGTCTCACTGGCGAAAATGAAGAGCAACTCCACGGGTCCCTCATCATTGGATGTCCCAGGTGCCAGCCCTGCTCTAAGCGTGAGCAGGTAAAACATGTTTGAAAAAGGGATTGCCTTAGCCACACACCCTCCAGTCTCCATCTCCATCTCCTACAATGTCTAGGCTGCTTTCTGAAGGGCAGGGCCTCCTGGGCTGAGTTCAAAGGCTGAAAATTTTGCATTCATAATCCCATCAAGGATAGAGGGACCTCTGCTCATATGTAGATGGCCACGGTGGGGCAGGTAGAAGGGAAGGCTAGGTGTGTCAACTGCTGACATGTTCATTTGATTTTCTTTCAGCGTGAAACTTGAAAAGGCTTATTGTTAATGCTCTTTAATAGAATTAAAATGCTTCATGTGCCCAAAAAAGAAATAGTTAGTCAGACTTCTATTCTTTAAATATCATTATGTGTTTTAATGGGAGTGAAAACAGCAGGATTAAACCAGCTTTTCTGAAACCTGCATGCGTGATGGTACTTATTTTGCAGAATTGCATAAAATAGAATATTTTGAGTGTTCACCATTGTTATAGCACTTAGTTACAAAATAACTGTGATGGTCAGTGAATTTGTATCTGTATCCCAGATCAGTGCAGAGCTTGGTTCTTTGTTGGGTTGGTATTTAACAACAGAAGAGCTACTTGGGATTGCAAGCATTTAGGATGTTGATATGTTGCTTTTAGGTCATCTTGACAATAATCCGCAACAATCAATTCTTTGTTTTATGCTGTATAGGCTTATTTTGAACTGGTGCTTGAAGTGGGTCAGTGTAGGTAATCCTCTACACTATGCAGGGACCGAAGCTCTGGGTCAGATCGGTTTTCCCCAGTGTGTCCACTCTGAAATGGAATGCATCCTCTAGCTGCAGGAAAACAGTCTTTCTTATGAGCATGTTTAGACAGAAACAAGGCCTATAACTCCCAGCCTGAGTAATGCTCAGAGTAGAATGACTTTGGGGGTGGGGGTCTGTGTATGCATACATGTCTCAGTCTGGCTTTCTATGTATATAAGCATACATAGTGAAACAGTAAAATACTGAATGGGTTGATTCCAGTGGTGTGCCAGCAGAAAAAAAAAATCTGGTTGGGACAATTTTCTGCAAACTGTTGAGCAAGGAGTAAGCAGAAGACTTTGCTGGGCCAGACAGATTTGGCACAAGCATGTATCTTGACATGTTGTGTAAGCAGACCTTGTGCAAAAGGCTGAACACCCCATTGTGCTAACAGGAGCACGCTGCCAAACTTTGATTGTCTTCTCTTGTGCATCACCAGTTCTAGAGCTTAGTTGGGGAAAGCACTGCTACCCATGGGAGATGTCTTCTGCTAAAAAAGAACTTCTGTTTCCCAACATTTTTGTTTAAAAACACAGTTGCGGTTTATTGCATTACATAAATACCACTTCATAATTAGAAAAAGCTGTTCTGCATATGCACAATAAATTCATATGTATGCAGATTAACTTACACTTTTAATAATAGCTGTATCTCTCTCTGAGTATCTTTCATCCAAAGCAGTAAAATAGATTACAAATAACCTACAAAATCTTACAAGAACAATTAAACACCTTCTTCATTTCCCAAACGTTTGGAAGAAAAAAAGGTCCTTCATTTGCTGCTGAAATGTGAAAATAGGTGTAGTTGAGCAAGCCTCAAGAAAAAAAAAATCACAACATGGAGATCAAAACAAGGTTCTGCTTCTGGTATCTGACATTCTCATCTCCAGATACAGAGATGGAATGGAGTGAACCTCACCAGATTTTCTGAGCGCAACAGTGGTTGAGTTTCTGCTAAGTGTAGGAAAGCTTTTCTACTCAAGACAGTTACTGTGTGCTCATCATTTGCTGCTAACATTGCTTACGGCTTCTATAGACAGCGAAAGCCAGTTCTTCTAGAACAGGGGAAATGCAGTGTTATTTCTGAAAATAACAGTGCTTTTCACCACTTGTATAATTGCAGTGTCCACATTGCCACCTAGAGCTTATGAAGCAGAAAATTAGGAAAAAATACTCTTCCTGTAGTGCTCACATCTCAGTTCTGCAGTGAAACTGAAATCAGAGACAACAGTTTAACAGCCTTCTGTAGGATAGGTCATAGACCAAGTCAGACATTTTTGTGGGACTTGGCTATTAGGACATGTAAGGTGCAATACACTGACCTGATTTACACGATAGCTGCCCACCATGGCATGTGCCAGCCACGCTTTGAATATTAAAGCCACAGTGGGTAGGCTCTGTGGTTTATAGTATAGTGTGAACCCAGAGAGGATAGATTATATGGGGGTTAAACAACCTTCACTTAACCCTGTAACATCTCCATTTAAAAGAAATTTTGCAAGTTACTTTTCCTTGTTGGTGAAATGCATTTATTGATGAAAGGGCTGCAGTCTAGCACAGGAATATTCGGAAGTAAGTTTTGCAGAACAAAATGGCGCTTGCTTCCAGAAGAGCTGCATAAGACAATTCACAGCTCCCCATCCATAAAAATCCACATGCTTCAAAGCTGTTGAACAGAGCTGTGTCATCTTTTCCATCCCCCGGTTTAGGGCATGTGACAATCAGGGATCAGATTCCAAAGACACACTTTGACTTTCTTGAAGTTTGTGGCAGAAGTACATTTTAATAGAGCTGAATTGCACAAAATAATGGCTCATGTTTTCTAGCTACACAGTAAATGAACAGGCTCCATGGGCTTGTAGTTTGACCATTTATAATGACTAATTACTGTGATTTGCTCTGATCAATGTGGCATAAACTGTATTAGAACAACAAAATCTGAAAGCTAATCAAAGATTTGGTGATTTGCAAAGATATGACCGCAAGCCCTGCATGGAAGCCATTCCGATTTTTGTTCATAATTTAAGGGATTGTGTGACACTGCTGCTCTGCTGCAGTCAAAATTCTTGTTGCTCAATAGTATGTTCAGCATGTCAAACTTGTCGGTGTTCAACACAAATATTTAAAAGAGACACACAGTGGAATTGCAAATGCATCAACCAGTTTATTGATAGATAAATACTGACTTGCTGTTCTGCTGCTGATGGAAAAATACCTCATTCTGAATTGGCAACACACATGATCAGGTGCAGGTTCTCCTGTACTCGGCAACAATGCAGGAGGTTATAGCTGCAAACATGGCGAAGCTGTGCAGATAGCTGAAAGGATAGTTGCTTCCACCTTCAGTTGGTAACACACAATAAGCCACCTTAAAACAGGAAGTTGCAAAGGAATGTTGCTCAGATGGGATTGTGTGTTGCTTGTGAGTCTCCTGCACAGCATCCTCCATTGGGTTTGGAGACCTTGTGCTACCACCAGCCGAACACACAGACTGTCCCTTCAGCCGTCTGCAGAAGTCTGGCTTCCTGGATACCACATTTGGTTGCAGTGCCAGTAGCAGAGAGTGGGAACAGAAGAGCATGGATATCTGCATATTTACATGCCCTTGATTTCACATAAGCTTTCCGTGTTTTTATTTTCTCAGCATCCATATATATTGATAGATAAGCAAGGAAAACCTATGCAGTTCTTTGAAGGCTATCATCTGGCTATATTTTTGCATGTTTTTATCAGTAGCTCAGGTTTTCTCTTTGGTGAATAGCTCATCCTGCTCTAAATAAATGGCCCAACTAGACTTGTGGCTGTAAATCTGGGAATGAGGAGAAACAAAGAACTTTCTTTTCTTCAATAGATTAAATATTCACCCCTTCAGAAAATTGAAATATGTGGGTATGTTTAATTCCCACTCGTTTAAAAAGCATTACGTTGAAAACAGAGCCTTGAACAGTGCTTCTTTGGGGAAAGGAGTTGGCGTTGAAGGGCATCAGAGCAATGAAAGGTGTCCTGGACTTACTTCTTTTCTTAACTAACTGATGGGGACTTATACTCCTCATCAGTCCCACTACCACCTTAAAACCAGAGTCTGGCAGCCTCTAGTTGGTTTCTTTTTCAAAAACAGTTCTAGAAATCCCATTAATTGAATTGAATTGGATGGACAATATAACGACCACATAACTGGAGTCTTCTCTATATGTCTTCTTGCATCCTTGTGGCATAATGTGATGCTTCCCTGTGCAAGTGGAAAGCAAGTCTGATGTTTCTTCAGTTCTTTTAGTCGCAGGGGCCTGGTCCACTCAATGCTGCTCACTTCTGGCTTGAGGATACATGGGAGGAAACTAAACACCTGGGATACAGTTTGGGATACAGTTTATTGAATACAGATAGTGATGGATATGGATGCAGATTATCCATAAACAAGCAAAAGAAGAGCATGCAAATGTCCCTTTAGCCAAAGTGGTTCCTGATATCACACTAGCCACTTGGGGCCTGTGCATTCTCATGGTTCCAAGTGGGAGACCAAACAGTAAACCCTTTCCATGGATTTTATAGAGTTCCTTGCCCTCTTTTTCAGAGGTTATGCATGTTCGCAAGCTAGCCACCCCTGCTGGGAGACAAGGGAAGAGAAGGCCCAAATATGTCAGTTTCAGCAAAAGCAGCCTTATCTCAGAGATGAGGTGAGGAATTTACAGCACCTTGTAGCTGGTGACTTCATACCTTCATGGAGACCATATACTGTAGGTTTCTCACAGCAGTTAAATCATAACAAGTTATCTGTGGCTACACTTAATGTCCATGCTGGACACTGGGAACTGGTCACACTTTGCTCTCTAGCACAGTAATCTTCCCAATACAGCGGTGTTGGTGCTTTAGCTTTCAGTTCAAAAGCCTGAACAAGACCTTCATGTTGAAAATCTCTCTTGAGCACTGCCTGCAAATTAAGCAATCAACAAATGGATAGCCCATAATTATGGTGTTGACAATTGAATTCTGTACACCATCAGCTGACTTCAGCTTCCCAAGATACATGAAGTCAAATGTTTTAAAATGCCTCAAGAAAAAGCCTCGAAAAAAACCCTCTCTTTGACTTTTGGCTTGGAGTTGTGGGGGAAGGCAATTCAGGGGAAGGCCTAGAGGCATGAGCCTGCAGTAGTCTCTCATGGTTTCATTAGTCACACTTGGGGGACCTTTAAGTCAAATAAGGAGTTAAGCTGCTACAATTCAGGATACCTCTGAATTGTGGCAAGGAAAATAAACAGAGAAAGACTATTGACATGAGATCAACAACAGACAGCTCTTTCACTCACTCTGGTAGAACATTTTATGCATGCCACAATTTTCCACTGATCTGAATGGGATCCAGTATGACTAATTGGACATCTGCAGATGCTTGGGCATGTATCAGCAAATAAGTGGAGGGTGCAATACTTTGAACACCCAAGTTCCCTCCACTTCAGAAGGCGTTCTCTGTACATTTCAAGCATGCACTTTTTTATTTTACTGAATTAAAAAACATAGTGTGAAACATACTGCTTTATCACCAATTGCCTTTTTCCTCCTGAAATTGTTGGTTCTTTATCATGTCTTCTGTAGATTTTTGGCCTTCCATTTTCATCAGGCCTAGCCAGGATAGCCTGTGCAGAGGGCAGTTCTACCTCTCCAACTATTTTGGCATACAAATTGCTAATCTAGCTTCCCAAGAGCAAAGTGGAAGATAAAAAATGAATTTCTGAAGAATGTGGTATATCAATGCTGTATGGTGCAATTTAGTCATTGTATTTTATTACATTTATATCTCACCATTTTCTTCATGAGAGAAACTTAAGGTGCTTTACATTGTTCTCTCCTTTCCATGTTATCCTCACAACAACAACCCTGTGAGGAAAGTTAGGCTTAGAGTGAGTGACTGGTCCTTCTGTGACCTTTAAGCCTCAATGGGGACCAGAACCCAGAGCTTCTTCCCATCCATCAATCTAATCCCATCCATCAATCCCATCCATTATGGTCTAGTGCATGTTTTACAGTAAGTCTATGTTGAGTGGGGTTTTAAAAAGGTAGGCTTGTGTAGGGTTGGCAAGGAGAAAGAAAGGGGAGCTTCTCTTTTCATGCCCACTTTTTTCACTGCCCCACCCTCAGTAACAGTGTTCCAAACATTTGTTCTCCTCTTTTTTGAAAGCCAGTTAGGAATGTACTTCATAGGATTTTACCTAATTGGCATTCTCTACAGGCCAGTTGCTGTTGCGTACGTGCTAGTTGGTGGTACACTTTCTAGGGTTTCTAATCAGAGTTCAGTCCTACCGTGAGATGCCAAGGTGTGAACCTCCAACGTCTACCTGTAGTCAGTCTCTGAGCAGGATCTCAGCCCACGTTTCATACTGGATTCCAGTCTTGCCCAACCTGGTGCCTTTCCTTGCTGGAATCCAAGACACCTGGAATGGTGCTGAGTCGGGAAAGGCTATTTGCTGTGCTCCATTTTAGCTTTATTTTACAGTACACTCTATTTTAGCACTTCATTTCTAAAAAGCACCCTGGCATGTGAGAAGTATTCAGCTGCTTGTGAAAAAGAGCAGGAGTTCCCCAGGGTGTTCAGTTCCACAGGACACTTACCTAGCTTGTGTTTTGCTTGTACGGAACTAACTTGCCTTTGTGTTTCCTCCTTATTGTGGTTGTCCTGTTGTATTGCAGAGTGAAGATTCAGATGAAGATGAGCCTTGTGCAATAAGTGGTAAATGGACTTTCCAGAGAGACAGCAAGAGGTGGTCCAGGCTTGAGGAGTTCAACGTTTTCCCTCCAAAACTAGATGGAAATCCCTCGTCCCCAGACACAGCTCATCTGAGCAGTGCAAACAGTCAGGAAAGCATGCTGATGGACCAGAGCGAGCACCAGGATGTCCTTTCTGTCCACAGTGCTGGCAGCAATGGTAGCCACCCCACTGCTTCCCAGAGTGAACCTGCCACAACTCGGACCAGTTCCATCATGAGTGTGGGCTTGTCAGGCAACCTTGTGGCCAATGAGGACTCCTTCGGCAGCTTGCCCTCACCGAAAGAGCTGTCAAGCTTCAGTTTCAGTGTCAAAGTGAGTGAGAAGACCGCCAAGTCGAAAACACGGAGCCTGCTAAAGAGAATGGAGAGCCTAAAACTCAAAAGCTCCCATCATGGTAAAAACAAAGGCCCTTCAAAACTTGGCCTCATAATCAGTGGCCCTATCTTGCAGGAAGGTGTGGATGAGGAAAAATTAAAACAGCTTAACTGTGTGGAGATCTCTACCCTCAATGGCAACCACATTAATGTCCCCATGGTACGCAAAAGAAGTGTCTCCAATTCCACCCAGACCAGCAGCAGCAGCAGCCAATCAGAGACGAGCAGTGCAGTCAGCACTCCAAGCCCCATCACAAGGACACGTAGCCTCAGTGCCTACAACAAACGAGTAGGGATGTACCTTGAAGGCTTCGATCCTTTCAACCAATCAACATTCAACGATGTCATGGAACAGAACTTTAGAAACCGGGAGAGCTTTGCAGAGGATACAGTCTTCTTCATTCCTGAAGACCACAAGCCTGGAACTTTCCCCAAAGCTCTCTCCAATGGGAACTTTGCTCCTTCTGGGAACAGCACCTCAGTGAACTGGAGAACAGGGAGCTTCCATGGGCATGGACATCTTGCCCTCAGGAGAGAAAACAGTTCTGACAGCTCCAAAGACCTGAGCATTGGGAAGAGGCGCAATTCTTCCAGCTCCATGTGTAGTCGCCTGAGTATTTATGACAATGTGCCAGGCTCTATCCTGTATTCTAGCACTGGTGATCTGGCTGATCTTGAGAATGAAGACCTCTTCCCTGAACTGGATGACATTCTCTATCATGTCAAAGGCATGCAGAAAATCGTAAACCAGTGGTCAGAGAAATTCTCGGATGAAGGGGACTCAGATTCAGCTCTCGATTCAGTTTCTCCATGTCCTTCATCTCCTAAGCAGATCCTCCTTGATGTGGACAATGACCGGACAATACCCAGCGATCTTGACAGCACAGGAAATTCACTGAATGATACAGAAGAGCCCACAGGGATCCAGGAAAGGAGGGACTCTGGAGTAGGGGCCTCACTGACACGCTCTAACAGGTCAGTGAAAACAGATACTAAGTATAAAGGGAAATGTGGTATGCTATTATCATTATCATCACAGTGTATGTGCTGCCTACATACCTATATCACTGAGTGGTTTACAAAATCAGAGATAAGGGTACAAACCTTCGCATGTTTAGATAAAAAAAGGCCTAAAATCTGAAAGCGTTTTTTTGTTATTAAAACATGCACCAGATTGCACTTTAAACTATATCAGTAAATACAAAAACTCTTCAGTTGATAGGTTTAAAATATTTAACGTGAAATTTAAACGTACAGTTTACAAACTAAGTGAGCATGCTAGGAGGGCTTAGGTCAATAGGCACCTAAAATAAGCCAGAGTTGGCACATCCCAAATAGTACTGGAGAGGTATCCTGTAAGTTGAGCTCTGCTGCAGTGAAGGCCCACTTCTGGTTTGCCACCATAATCTAAAATCAGGAATTGGTCAGTAAGAACTGCTTAAGCTTTAATCCTAAGTGTGTTTCTACAGAAGACATGTCCACAATTCCCCACATTTCCCACCAGCCGTTCCACAATGAAAGACATTTAATAGTCCCAAACCTAGTGCAGAATAAAAACTTTTTAAACACTTTCCTAAAAACGGTTACACAAGGCTAGTCTTAGCTACATCTTTAGAATAAAGTGTAGTCTAGCCTGCAGTCATGTTAGTGTTCATGACATTCTGAATTCAAGATGAATTTTTACTGTTAAAGCTGAATATCTGTTTTGACGGACAACAGAACCCTGTATGTATGTATGTATATATGTATGTATTTAGAAAATTTCTATGCCGCCCCATTCGCCGAAGCCTCGAGGCGGCTCACAACATAAATCAATTAAAATAATATAAATTAACAATATAAAATAAGTTAACAATATAAAATAACATATATGTAGATATATTTGTTTCTGAATTGAATCAGGGCACATAACAATACTTCTAGAAATGCCCCGACAGATTGTAAAAACAAGCCATAACAGTTCTTATTCCTCCTCTGCATTATCCTATATATTGGTTCTAGTATGCTGAAGCTATGGGATTCATCTTTAATGCATAGTTCTCTAGAGGTGTATGTGGAAAATGCATTAAGAGATGAGATGAATTCACTCAGTGCAAAAAGAAGGTAAAATTTAATTTTCAGGTCATTAATCAAATGATGTAATCATCTGAGATAGTTATTGTAGACCTGTTCCCTAGCAAAACTTTTCCTGGCTGTTTAAAGGTGTTTTGTCCATTGCATGTTATCAATATGGTAGTGATCTTCCATAACACTCTTTGGAATTTGAGCATGATTCACAGTAACCTTGCAACACTCTAGGTAGATAATTCAGCTTCAGCACCAAAAGATACACATGCTAAGCTGGCATACTTAACTCATAAGCCTGTCACATATATCACCCTGCTTAAGGCAAGCCAAACGATGAGGTAGGTAAAAGAGAAGGAAGTGGACTTTGGACATTCTTTCAACGCTCTCTTTCTTGCCTATCCTTGCAGTGCTTTCCTGTTCCAAGAAATGAAAATACACAGTAATTGTAGGCACTGGGGAGTTTTTCAGTATTGATGTTCATCAAAATGAAGTGGGAATGGCATATTTTCTGAAAAGTTCTTGGTGTGGCTACCAGGCATCTTTCAAGTGGGAAATTGGCCTTCTAACTCATTTGCATTTTATGTATCAGATCTGGTTATAAGACAGGATACAATATGTCCTTGACTCTCAACTATGCCATCTTGATCTTTCGTATATGACCAACATTATTGTGCCCCTGATGGTGGGCATTATGTCTTATGGGCTAGGCAGAAAGCAACATACGATCTACACTTCAAAGGGCATGGGCAATTACTAGAGGAGCCAGTTTCTTAATGCTTGTCAGTGGGAAAAGAGGTAGTGCTAGCCTACGCCTTTATGCCTTGCCAATTGGTGCATCACAGATGGGTTGCATCTGTTAAGTGAAGACCGAGTGTTAATTCATGATTTCTTTCACAGAGATTTTGCTTAAAGGAATGGCTGGTGAACAATTCAGTGTGTATTTCCAGTGTGTATTTCCAAATGGGAGTGGCCTATGTCATTTATATTTTCCCTCTGATTTGTGCAAAATTGCTCTGGAAAAAAGGGAACCCTTTATTCAGACTCAGGGCCCTTTCACTAATCCTTCTGATGAAACTAAGCAATAAAACTTGGGTTCTCAGTAGTTTGGCTCATCTACCCACATTTCGAATGGCCACGTGTCCTCTTTCACTGAGTTTGATGTTTTATTTGACTGGCTGCTGGATACCATATTCTGTTCGAAGGGCTGTCCTGTCTAATTGCAGTTTAAAGATAAAAAACCAGAAGAGCAGTTGCCCATCAACATTAGCACCTGAACAGCAAACTAAACAGGCAGACATAAGGTCACCTGCCCATCTTTCATGCACTAGTCTTCCACTATATTTCTATTCTTACTAAAATGCATCTGTAATATCAATTAACACATGCAATTTTTATACAGGTTGCTATCATCTTTATTCTCTTTTGATGGTGCATAAACTTTTCTTTGGGTGGGTGCAATTCATAAGTGTCTGTGCTATTCATAGTGCCAGCAGACAGATGCATAAAAATGTTTCATAAAGAAGAACCTTAGAAATGCAATTTAAGTGCAAGGAAGTTAGAACCTTAGAAATGCAATTTAAGTGCAAGGAAGACCTTTGCAGTATTTTCTCTCTCAGTCAGCTTTGCTGCTAAGTACTTAAGAAGTTTTTAACATCTCTACTCTCAATATCACAGAGAGCTCAGTTCAGGAAATACAATTCTGCTAAGCAAATTAAGTTGATCTGGCTTTTCACTCACTTCAACCTGAATGTACTGTTAAATCCCTTTCTCTCTCTCCTGAAGACACAGAATGAGGTGGCACAGCTTTCAGAGTTCCCATCGACCCAGCTTCAGCTCAGCGTTGTTACAGATCAACTGCCAGTCTGTCGCACAGATGAACCTGCTGCAGAAATATTCCCTCTTGAAGTTAACTGCACTCTTGGAGAAATACACCCCTTCTAATAAGCATGGCTTCAGCTGGTAAGGAGCTGCAGACATCCATGGTAGGCAGGCTTCTGACTAGTCAGAACCAGAAATAGTAAAACACTCCCTTGAACACTTCCTGCCTGCCAAAAAAAGGTCATTTTTTAAAAAAAGTTGTGCAGCTTTGACATATCTACTGAGGATAGCTCTGCACTGTTGATGAGCAACATTAGAGAATGGGTTTGATCCAGATTTAAATATGTGTAACTGGGCTGGCGGACTAGCATGGGAAGAAGGAGCAGAGAAGTTTGCATCTGCAGGCCCAGTTGCCTGTGCTAAATCTGGATCCAATACAGTGGGACTGTTCCATGACCGACAGCCACCATGGCTGAGGCTGCAGCAAAAATGGAGCACATGCAGCCACCGTTTTGAATATGCAGCACCCAAATGTGCTGCAGCGTATGTTTTAGGGTTCTGCCGTGGTTGTTTAACCACGGCAGAACCCATTCTCATTGAGTTCTAATGACATGACAATTCCTGAGTGAAGATTCCGTATGCACCCACAACAATCCTCGGCATGAATCTGGTCAGTGCCTATATACATGCTTTTGCAAGCCTAATTTGGTAATAGATGAGAGATGGTGAGAACATCCTTTAAGATGAATACAGAATTCATTATTCCCATTGCATAATTAAAGTGCCCCGTCAGTTTAATGCCATTGAAAACCTTAGATTGCCTATTCTCTGTTGCTACTTGCACAGGGTAATAAGGCAGCTAAAAGGGCAGCGTGAGGGTGTGGAGTGTGCGCATCCATTTTACTACAACTTTAACATCTTCTCTAGCCTCCTCCTTCCTGTCCCTAGGACTTGCAGAGCTGCATCAAAGCTCTTCCTGTTCCAGGACTGTTATTATGGGAGTTGAGCTAAATACAGAAGTTGTTTGTTCTGAAAGACAGAAATAAGTATTGACCAGTTTACCCTTGCATGCTTCAGATGCTCAGCAGACTTCGTAATGTGTGTATGTTTCTTTTTACATGACTTTCCGCTGCTGTGCATTTTGACAAACAAAAATCATACATACGCTTATATCACTAACACTTTATGTTAAAGCTGTATGGAAATACAAATTAGATGGAATGGTTATATGGCAGCTTAGTCAGTCATAAACCTAAAAGGTTGTTTAAATAACTATACTGTTAATTTAGAATTTTCTCAGTTGATGTCATTCCAGTTTTGCGTCTCGTGTTAAATATTTGCTTTGTCGCATAACTTGCTTCTTAGCAATGTGAAATTCTTAAATGATTTTATTAAATGAAATAGCAGGGCTCTGGAATTTTTGGTGGTAATTTTTTTCCTACTGGTCAAAACCAAATAAAAAGGACTTTTTACCAAAGTGCGTGGGTGAAGTGTTAGAGAAGGAAGGTGTGAAGGGGCAGAAGTTGTGCCTGAAAAGGTCATTTGTCGAACTCAAACTTGCTGCTGGCAAACACCAGTGTATTACATCAGTTTCCTGCTGTGACACAGGCTAGTGGGTGGTGGGACCAAGTCTGAGGGCTTTCTAAAGCAAGTGGTTAACATACAAAAAGCTCATTGTTCACATGTCTATCTTTCCCTGAGAGTCCTAAAGAAGAAAGATTATAAAGGGTCATTGACTTCTAGATTTGTGTTTGACTCTTACAAGTTTTGACACGGCCACCCTAGTTCTGCCCTCTACCTTCTGGCCTGCCAAATTCTGGCATATACGATTAACTAATAAGGTGAAAGGATCCTTCTTTTAATTGATATCATAAATCAATTGATTCTTTAGCTTCAGATTTGATGTGAATGGCTTAACTGATTTGGCCATCCTCAAGAACTCAACACAAAGTTGACTTGCATGTATCAGATGATTGCATAACGAGGGATAGAAAAGATAAGAGTGGCCACTTGTATGAGGCCTTGTTGTGAAGAGAGATGTTTTGAACAGTTTGCATATTCTTTATTCCAAAGATCCACTGAAACGTAATTTTCCAAAATCAAATGAGCTATTTATTCAAGAGGAAGATTAAATTATATCTCAACAAAATTTTGTCTATATCGATTTTGTGACATTGACTAGAAGTGACTTCTTACTTTGATTGCTGAGTTAAAGGCACAACAGTCAATTGAGTGTCATGGTGTAACTTGTACCTGGAAGATGAATCTTCCAGATCTTAATGCATGTTAAGAACATATTTGTTTACATTCTTACCATACCTTGCTAGAAAAGAAATAGAATACAAAAGTGGCCTTTCCTTCTAAGTTAGGTAAATCCTTCAGTCTTGAGATTGGTCTCTCAGTGCATGAATGCAAATTCACTTGGGAATCTTATCTGCATTACCATGAATTCCATGTCAAAAGAATGGTAGGATATCAATATACAAAATGATCTATTTAAAATTTTGTTTTAACTGGTGAACCACCCAGAGAGTTTCAACTATTGGGTGGTATAGAAATTAAATTAATGAAGGGATGAAGAACAGATTATTAATCATCTAACAATTATTTTCATTGGTTTAACAGTACTAGTAAAAATCTTTAAAATACACTTCTGGATCCCTATTATTACATTTACATTTGAGGGATTTTCCTGTGATATTTTTCCCCCTTCACATAGTGGAATGTTGCAACTTCAATGCCACAATCAGGTTTTCCATACTGCTATTCTGAGTCAGATGAGATGTTTTCCTTTGTGCCTCTTATTCCACACCCCACAGTTGGAAATAGAAGTGTGTGGTCTGCACTTGAGAAAGATGGCATGAACACATAAAAAGACACTTGAAGCTTTGTCAATCTTTATCAGTTTATTTCTGTTCCTCTTCAGGGCTGTGCCAAAGTTTATGAAAAGGATAAAAGTCCCAGATTACAGGGACCGAAATGTGTTTGGAGTTCCCCTGACCGTTAATGTGCAACGCACAGGACAACCTCTACCGCAGAGCATTCAACAAGCCATGCGATTTCTTCGCAACCACTGTCTGGATCAGGTGAGATTCCTTGTTATTTTTGCATTGCCAACTGCCACAGTCCCAGAAGTTTTCTTTGCTGGTGCTCTTCTTTAGTTGTTGAAATTTTTTTTCAAGAATTGTGTGGCTAGTCAAACTAATTGGCGTGTAACCCCAAATGTGAACTAATCACAGCAGCAGTCAGCCTCACCATCTCTTCTTAAACAGCTTATCAGGTAAAAGAGACAGGTGGTACTATTCCAGACTGGGAGACACATTTCTGAATGTTCTTCACATAATGAGAAGCATACCTCCACTTGGATAAGTCAAGCAGAAGCTTATGCAATGGCCTTCTTGCATGGCTTTGTTTGTGTTTGTTTTTTGTTTTTTTTACACAAGCAGTGTTCGAATGTGATCTTCCATTTCACACAGACGCAGTAGACTTTGGAAATAGCTGTACCACAAAACTAAGTGCTGAATCTTGAAACTTGGTTGTTAGAATCACTTTCTGTTTTAAGCATGGTACCAGTGGCAGATCTCTCCTACATATTTCTTTTGTCAAGTAGGTTGGCCTTTTCCGAAAATCTGGAGTCAAGTCAAGAATCCAGGCATTACGACAAATGAATGAAAATTCAACAGGAAAAGTAAACTATGAAGGTCAGTCTGCTTATGATGTGGCCGACATGCTGAAGCAGTATTTCCGTGATCTGCCGGAACCGCTCATGACCAACAAACTTTCAGAGACTTTCTTACAGATCTACCAGTGTAAGTCATGGTTGTTCAGAGCTTCTGTTGTAGTCATTTCCAAATGTCTGTCTCTCTTTACAACATTGTCAATCTTGAAACTGAAAATCAAATGAAATTTGGGATTTTCATTAGAATTGGATATATGTGACAGTTCATATTGATGGCATTTCACCATCTTTTCTGTGCTGTATTTTGAGAGGCAGTGGTCAGTCATTCCACTATCACCCATAGCTTTTAAGGAAAGAACAGATGTCTCTCTTACCAATAGAGTCTTACCAATAGAGCCCTGCCTGCTTAGTTTACACCTCTTGGCATCCACACAGTTAATGAGAATTAACCATAGGGTGCTTCCAAATGAGGCTTTGATCATGCATCCACCTTCATTCAGTGCATTGTATGAAGGCTGGTACACATGTCATCATGTGTAACCCTCCTGAGTTTTCCCACTGCTCCTTCTGCCTTTTTTCAAACAGCCTGAGCTTGCTCCCATTCCATCTTCCTGTGCTTTCTACCCCACGCTAACCGTGCATGAATCGTCTCAGTAACAAAGCATATCAATGATTCTTGCCCACGATCATGTGCATGTAGCCTGTTGCTAGCTGCAAATCCCTTTAGATTGGGGCACCAGTGAAACATGGCCATCAGAAAAGATGCCTTTCTGTCATAGCAGCAGCTCTTCCCAAAGTCCCTTGTACTGATGGGACAGGTGGTGGAAAAAGTTACATCCATAGATGCAAGTCAGTGTGAATAATGCACTAAGGAACATTCAGCTCATTCTTGTGTCTTGGATGGCAAGAGAAGTAGGGATCACTTGTTTCCAGATCTTATTCTTCCCTGGATTTTGTATCTCTCCTTTAGATACTGTATCCTCAAGATAAGCCCATCTCACATTTTGTGAACTCTAAACTGTGTACTTCGGGTACCTTTGGGAGATTGTTTCTCCTTGTATGCAGCAAATAGCCTCACCCCAAATTTTCAAGTCCCATAAAAAGGACATCAAAAATCGTTGGTCAGGATATATGTTCTCCTTTGTCACTGTGGAGCTACCTGACAGATAAGTATGAAACTATCCACCAGTGATAATTTTCCTTCCCTCGTCACTACATCATCATTAAGTAAAGCACTTGTCTGCTTCTTGACACACAGTTTGGATATTTTGAGGTGCCAAAGTTGGGAATCATTTAATGGCTCTTTGTTTTAACTACCTCCCCAGTTGAAGAACGTGTTTCACTGGTGTGTGTAGTTTTTTGTCAGCGTCCAGAGTGGCTGGATTTAATGTTTGCATCCTCGTGTACCACCCATGTTCATAAACTGAAGGAGCTCCAATCTAATTTAACAGTCTTTTTAGCAGGTCTACAGAAGTATGTGGCTCTCATAATTAAATTCTAAATTTAACTCTGGAATATGCAGCGTTTTGTTTTACTGTTGAGTCTCTTGCTAGGCAGGAAATACCTGAGGGCAGTTAAGTTGTTGACAAAAAAAAAAATGCCTTCATTTGCCATGAATGGTATGCAGCACACTGAAGGAAATCGCTTCAGACTAAAGTCAAAAATAGTTGAGGCCAGAGTTTGCTTTGGGATGCATTCATGCTATATGTGTGGAAAATCAATGAGTTGATGAGAGGATTGCTAATCTTGTGCAGATGTGCCAAAGGATCAGCGTCTTCAGGCCATCAAGGCAGCCATTATGCTTCTACCAGATGAGAACAGAGAAGTCCTACAGATTCTCCTGTATTTTTTGAGTGATGTCACAGCTGCTGTGAAGGAAAACCAGATGACGCCAACAAACCTCGCTGTGTGCTTAGCACCTTCGCTTTTCCATTTGAACACCCTCAAGAGAGAAAATTCTTCTCCAAGGCAAGTGTCCATGTGCTACCTTGATGGCCTTGCTGGTGACTGTTGCACATGGAAAGAAATCTGTCTCTAGAACTTCTAGCTATGATGTCCCCTAACTAATACTGAATTTTGAGTTTTCATTGGGTAGTGCTAGTGATGATGACTGCAGTGAACTTAATGTATGCAAATCATCGCTTGATTCTGCAGTCAACAGGTGATCAGCATGCTAGCATAACACTCTTAAATTCATCTGGACATGCCATTATAAATACACGAGATGGCTGAAAAGAAAGATCGCCCTTAGATGCAGACTGCAGGTTTTTAAATCAGCAATTTAGGTGGGACCCTTGGCTCTTTATGGAATTCTCTGGTTGTACATTGCAATCCATTCTAGTCAGCTTTGTGTCATCGAGCTTCCATTTTAACAGGGTGATGCAGAGAAAACAGAGTCTGGGAAAGCCTGATCAGAAAGATTTAAATGAGAATTTGGCTGCAACACAAGGCCTGGGCCACATGATTGCTGAGTGTAAGAAGCTGTTTCAGGTGAGTGTTCCACTGTACAATTATTATATATGTATCTTGCATATGCCTCTATTGGCAGGTTGTGGACCATGTCCAGGAACCAAATCTGGCCCACCTGGAATCCCAGTCCAGCCCTCCGCTTCCCCAGATCACCGCACCCCCTTTACTTGGTCCAACTCCTGTTTCCTCCAGCCACTGATCATTTGATGGTTTCTCAGCTTTTCTATAGTTCGCTACCATTCTGAAAGTTTCAAATGCCTCTAAGACTTCCTTAACTGTTAGAGCCTTAAGCTAAAAGGTAGTGGAATTACTGGCTTTTGCCTTGAGTTCTAAACTCTTTTGCCATCAGCATAATTTACCACTAGAATGTGGCACACAAGAGCTTCTCCAAAACGGGATGTGGGGCTCCAGCTGAAGGAGGTTCTGTTCCACAACTCCACACTTAGTTCTTGTTGCCATAGTGCCCTATTTGGCAACTAGCCTTGATGGAGGGATACTTTTAAAAGGTGTTGAAGGGTCAAAGGCCAAACTTTCACCACATCCAGCTTAAAATTGTCTTCCCAGCTGTGGGTCTCCTTTTTGCCTCTAGGATAGTAACTGGGGAACTAGATAACATTCCTACTGGGCTACTCGTTGGTGCTTTTAATATGGCTGGTGTTATCTATAGTTTTCTTCAGTACCAATGAAGTACCATGAAATGTTGGCAATGAATCTACAGTAGTGAACATCCAAGTTTTTTCTTCCTCATATCACCCCAATCCCCAGATCCCTGAAGAAATGAGCAGATGTCGTAATTCTTATACAGAGCAAGACCTTAGACCTTTGAGCTTGGAGGAACTTGGGCGAATGAATAACTCGGAGCCTGCAGACTACCATTCTTACATTCAGGACTGTATGGATGACCTGTTCAAGGAGATAAAAGATAAATTTAAAGGATGGGTCAGTTGTTCCACTTCTGAGCAAGCAGAGCTGGCCTACAAGAAGGTATAATTCCGGGATGGCTTTCAAGTGTTCTTAGTTTATAGATTTTAATGCTTTTTACATGGAAGAGAAAAAGTAATCACACACAACACATTTTAGAAAGAGGGTGGGTGGGAATGATTGCTTTGAATATGGAAAAAATATTTAAGCATAAGTAATATTCCAAGATGGAACAAATGGAGCTGACTTGAAGTCATATTTCCAGCTGGTTACCAGCACCAGGTTAAGCTGGAGACATTATTAAACCACCTGAAGTCGTTACTCAGCATAGTGTTCATGAATCAAAATGCTATGTGGATGTTGATTTGGAAGCAGTATGGACTTGAGGTTCTTTTCTAGAGTAGGAAATTTAGGGCTGGCTTCCACTGCAGCCTTCAAGAAACTTCCAGGTGGACGTGACAGTCACCCATTCTAGTAACTACTGTAGACAGTGACAAAGAGCGACTGTCCAGATGGGGTCATCCTTGGTTGCCCTTCCAGAAACGAACCTTCTGACAGCAACAGAAGAGAAAAAGAAAATCGCATCAAATGGGAACTTTGTCAAAATTGACAGCTACTGCAGTCCCACAGAGGTGGCTGCACTCATGGAGGTTCATTTGTAGTTTCCTGTCTAAACAGGTCCGTAGGTTATAAACAGAATAAGCATTTTAAACATTCCGTTACTGTCATTCTTTTACTGTTCAGAGTATGTGATTGGTATCAGTGGGTCACACAACTGCTCTGAGGGCAGGATTCCACAAGTGCAACCCACAAACAACAACTTGATGTTTGGTTGTCGCTACCATCCCATGATGTGTTTTTGCTTAGGCTTTCTGCAGTCAAGAGATGATTTTATGGTATATATTTTACAAGGCAGTGCACACCCATTTATTTTAGAGCTCTTTCTCTTAAGTCATTGCAAATCCGAAAGGAGTTATGGATGGCTTGTGTGGCCAAGGCTATCAAAAGTGCAGTCCAGTTGAAATGCCTATAAGCCTCCCATTTGAAGGATTATGGGCTTCCTTTCCAAAGCAGGAGGAGCACAGAGGCAATCTTTGCCTCTGCACTTCTTCTGTTCTGCAACTCAGCTGGACCTCCCAGTCTGGCCAATTAGCTGAGATGCTTCAGATGAGGGTGGAAGGAGGTTGGCACTCTGCCAGGATGTCTTGGTAGCATTGGTCTCCTCTGTTCCTTGCCTCCCAGGATGTCCCCTTCAGCCCTTCTCTGAAGTTGGTCTTAGGAGCTTGGAGAAACAACCAGCCATTTTTCCCAGGCCAGGGATAGTGGTGCAAGGGCGATCTTAGCATGGGTTCTTAGGTCAGAGCCGTTTTCCAGCCTTGAATCTAGGAATCTGAAGAATCCTACTGCCTGCTAGACACTGTCTAAGGGGTAGGATCACTCTGTAAAACTATGTTTGCCATGAGCTGAGCACTTCATCTTATTACACAGAGAGTTCCAGGATGGGTTAGTGATGTAACGTGACCTACTGAATCTTGTCATCACTGGGGTCACTTTATGGAGTATGATCTTTACCAGTCATGCTGATGTATGCATTTCACTCTGGTTTGGTTAAAAGGCTATTACACAAACTGAGTTCACTATATTGGTTACAATTCACATTTTCATGGTAATGTTGCTTTCCAGGTTTCTGAGGGTCCACCTCTCCGGTTGTGGAAATCCACTGTTGAAATCCCTGCAGCTCCTGAAGAGGTATTAAATCGCCTACTTAAAGAACAACATCTTTGGGATGAAGATCTTTTGGATGCAAAAGTGATCGAGACTTTGGACAGCCAGACTGATGTATACCAATATGTCCAAAACAGCATGGCCCCACATCCAGCCAGAGACTATGTAGTACTAAGGTAAACTTAAAAGATTTCACTCGCAGCACAATTTATGAATGAGAAAGCAAAAACAAAAACCTCACACTTTAAAAAATGAGCAATTGAAAACAGTTACACAGATAGCTTGATTTCTCTTCTGCAATTTTGCGTAGCCCAGAACAATTCTATGATACGTATGGCCAACTATACTGTTATAAAGCTGCACTTGTTTTCAACAGGACTTGGAGGACAAATTTATCTAAGGGAGCTTGTGTGCTGTTGAGCAACTCCGTGGACCATGACCTTGCTCCAGTCCTTGGTGTGAGAGTGAATGTGCTCTTGTCCAGGTATCTCATTGAACCTTGTGGATCAGGAAAATCCAAGCTCACCTATATATGCAGAACTGATTTAAGGTAAACCTTTCACTATATTATCTTCATGTATGTGTTTCCATCTCCCCATATACTCACATTCTTGTGGACCACTGAGTTGCAGTATAGTCCTGCGCAAGCTCTTCTACTTCCTTATTTATTTTTCTTAAACTCGTCCTTATTTTTTCAGAACTCAGTTGATACTGATTTGAATTTATTTATTATAATTTAGAATTTCACAAACTTTTGGCTACCCCACAATAGAGACATGGCAGGGATAATCAAAATTATCAGGAGTTCCTCCTTGAAGTGTGTTCTCACACACTTCTGAGACTGCATCACAAATTTTCACCGACTACCATCTGTCTTGTTAGCTTTTGGGTACTCCCATTTGCCCTTCCTACGTTTACGGTTGCTCTGGGTATTTATATGAATGCATCCTCTGCTCAGAGTCATTCTGCATCATGGAGTTTTTTAATCTCACATCTTTAGTTGAAAAAAGAAGGATTCTATGCTAGGAATTATTTCCCCTGTCCTCCAACTGTATGCTTCTTTTGAGAGTGTTTATGTTCCATTTGTGAGCATGTTTTTCTTTTAAACATGACCAGCTATTATCAAGCATGTTTTTTTTTTTTTCTCTTCAAAACAGGGGACACAAACCTGACTGGTACACGAAGGCTTTTGGCCACTTGTGTGCAGCCGAAGTTGTAAAGATCAGAGACTCTTTCATTAATCAGAACCTAGAGACTAAAGAAGCAAAATCCAGGTGACGAACGAAGTGGACCAATGGTATTTCAATACCCAAATATTTCCAGAAACTGTTGATTGTCTGCTACAGAGAGGGTCACGGTGTGGCCTGTTCAGTCTTGTCCTGAAGGAGAAGTGTCTGGAATGGGATTGAGATCCTCACTCAAAAATCTGTGGCAATACCACACATTTTTAAAGCTGCTTCTTGTCGGTGTTAGGCCTATAGTGTAGGCCTTGACTGGAATATATTGGAAGGTGCAACTTTTTTGTTGTTTTGAGTAATATTATACTTGTTGCTTGGACAGTGTGAATTGCTTCTGAGAAGCTAAACTCCAAGACTTAAATCTGTTTCTGGAATATAGTGAAAACAGTTCATTCCTCTGTAATGTAGCTTTATGTATGTATCTGTGTGCCATTTGTTGAGGGACTGTTGCATCCACTGGATTCGTTGGCACTCTTCAATGGGTTCTTACGAGAGTGAGTGAAAGAAGGTTTGCACAGAGGCAGAGGTGTGAATCGCTGTCTAAATGGGTGAACAGAGTGTTAGGAACTGGAATGATAGAATCAGAGTGTCTGGTACACTTGGAAGCAAATGGAAAGATTTAAATTTGCATGTGTGTAGTATGGGGTTGGGAAGGTCAGCCTAGAACCTTTGCATGTCCAGCAGATCAATGCAGGTTTCATTCACTTGTTATGCATTAGTCCTGTGTGAATGTATTTAGGAGGAGGAAAAAGGAAAACAAGGACCACACTAGATTGGGCAAGGAAGTTGAAAAGGAGAAACATCTAAAGCTGATACCAGACAAAGAATTTATTAAAATTATTTTTTAAATGTCCAGTTTGTTTCAACATCTGCCTTTTGCAATGGCAGTAGCTCTGCTTGTCTATTCACATTTTAAATTTCCCAGAACATTTTCATGTGCATTTTGCCCAGACAAATCTGACTTTGCCACAGAATGCAGACCAAATGTTGTTCACAGCTCCTTTAGAATATATTTGTAAGAAGCAAAGGATATGCTTGTAAGAATGGTCAGACTTTACCTATTTAGCTGTTTATCTAAAACATCCTGGAGATGTACACCTCAAAAATGGAATTTGTGGGGAGAATTGAGGTAGAATGTGTGGGGAATAGCAGTGCTTAGTTCTCAAACTAAGAGTAGGACTACTCAGGATTAAGAGGGTGACATTGGCTTTGCTAGCAGGGACAAAGCTATGCAAAGCAGCCCAAACCCCAGAATTTGTGTGCATAGCTTTGTATCCCTGTGTATAGCATAGACACCTGCAGCGAAGCTTTGTGCATACAGCTATACACAGAGACTTCCACATTTTTCAGAACCCAAGCCATGTACAATTCTGTGCCACATGGAAAACTCCATGCAAACAGTTGTATGCTCAGAGGCCTCCCTGGTGTAGGCACCACTACCTGGATGCCTGGGGTGGAGCAGTGTTGAGGATCTGGCCGCTCTTATGTGGTAGCTTCAACCCTTCTGATAATGACTGATTAGCACTAGTGACTTGAAAGGATGGCCCTTGAAATATATATAACTATACATATATGTGCACACACATGGAAAGGTATTAGGTATTTTTTTAAAATTGAATTTTAAGACTGCCTCTCCTTTTGCATCACATATCCACATTTTTTCCTGCATTCACACCTGTTGAAATGCAACCAGGAGGCTTAACAGTCCTTTGTTTTTTAATGAATCTCATAGGAATAAACAGAAAGCTTGTGGCATGGGAATAGAGCTGAAACTGCCTTTAGTAGCTCAAAAAAAACTGCACTGGAAAATGTCATAACTGGAGCATTATGAAGTTTTAAAGCAATTCAGTGTAATGGAAACTGTTACAAGTTCAAAGGTATTCATATATTCCACTCATCTATAACCATATAACCTCATTTATCCACAAGGTTTTGGGGGAAACTTCCAAGATGATCAGAGATTCTGAAGCCTGGATAAGGGGGAGCATTGTTGCGAAAGGACTGCAAGTTAGCGTAAACACGACATTTTTCCTGTCCAAACATGTGTAGGAATTAACCTTTAAGGCCACTAGATGTGGGAAGAATCAGAACTCCAGCCCCAGCCTTGGAAGATTGGTTCTTTCTATGCCAGCTGGAACCAGCTTGGAGCCAGCATGGAGAGATGCAGTAGGAAGTGAAGGAGTAAAGGACACTGTCATCCTCCAAGGAATCGTGGCAGGTCCTTGCTCCTGTCTTCACAACCCATGGTGACACACCTAACATCTAAGTAATAAATGTATTTAATAAATTAATTAATAAGTATTTTTAGAAGCATGGCAGCAATCCCCTCCATCGGATGCCCGTCAGCCTCTGAGTTTGGAGCAACACTGGCTCACACTGTTACTAGCTTTTAGAAGGAAACCCAAACCTCTAAATGCCGATCTTCCTAGGCAACAAGGTTAGCAGTAATAAATCAATACTAATACCTGGGAAATGTGTAGAACTGTGCTGTTGCTTTGTTTTTCGAAAGAACTAAATTAATGGTCAAGCATTTTCAGAAAAACCTAAGCAGTGCATGTAACACTGAACATTTCCCAAACATTTCATGGGAGATATCTATAGTAGTAAAGCACCCAAAGGTCCCTGAGTGATAGCAGGTGGAATTGGGAACAGTTTTGATGCTCGAACTCCATGGGAAGTGTGGCAGTGCAAAAGGGCAGCCCTCCCCATGCGCTGATCCTGTTTCCCCTATTGCAAACCATGTGTGATTGGTCCTCAAGAGCATCTGTATACCCACTTATCATGAGGTACCCACAATACCCATGATGGATGCTCTTAAAATAGCACTGCTGCTTTTCTGTTCTGAATAGCACTAGGTCCAAAAAAAGGAAAGGCTGTGAATCTCACCTTCTCATTACCCAAAGCTTGACATGGCACCTGTGTAAGGCCTGTACTTAAGATTCAGTATTGTGTAATGATGCACTGAAGCCACATGAGGCATAAATGGGGTGAAAAGAGTAAAATGACAAGATGAGTATTTCTTCGAAGCAAAGGAAAGTTACTTGTGCTACTTGTTACCTCTTGGTGAGACTCCATCCCCTAAATCCAGTTTCTTAGCCCTTTGCTTCCTCTGCAGCCAGAGATGATGTCTGGCAGGTGTGTTGTCCCAAACACCATGTGGAAAAACTAGGCAGCTGGTTCCTCCTTGCTCTCTCAAATTGAGAAAAGGCCTGTGCACCCTCAGAACTGCCTTCCTTTCCCCACCCCAGGATGGTGGCTTGGCTAGAAGTGTTGTTGTTGTTAGTTGCAAAGTCACGTCCGACCCATCGCAACCCCATGGACAACATTCCTCCAGGCCTTCCTGCCCACCACCATCCCCCAGAGTCACACCAACCGCTTCAGTGACCCCATCTAGCCACCTCATTATCTGCCATCCCCTTCTTTTGCCTTCAGTTGTTCCCAGCATTAGGGTCTTCTCCAGTGAGTCCTTCTCATTTGGTGGCCAAAGTATTTGAATTTCATCAATGGCTAGAAGTAGCTCCCCAAAAACTTTATAAACCATTGTCAGTATTATTATTTTCAAAGTCATGTGATGAAGAATTGTGGTGAGTTAGCAAATTGTGTAGAGTTTTAGCAATACCCTTTGTCCGCAGCAATGACTCATTTTGAACTTCATCTTTACTTGTTTGATGTTGCTGGTCCTTCATGTGTTCTCCCAGATGCTCATTGCAAATCAGTACAGATGCAGAGGTGAACTCAGGATTAAGGAAAGGGTTTTGCAGTGGGAGATGTGAGATGTATGGCAGGCTAGGGCACCTCTTTGTGGGGTAATCTGTTTGCATGTTTAAGGGAGACGCTTCCAGGGACAGTGCCCAGCAAACATGAAAGACGTTGCAGAGTTTTCCGTTCTTCTCTTGATGAGTCGCTCACTTCTCCTTAACAGACCTGGAAGTGAAGCTCTTTCATGGAACATTTCCAGGATTGAATAGGACAGGTGCCAACTGTTCCAAATACTCCTAGGTGTAAGAGAGCTATTCTAGATTATGGCCTCACATCCTTACCATTCAAACATTAACTGGGCAGTAACTCCAGTCTGATTGTTGTGAATCTTAACTGCCACATAAGTGTCTCACGGATCATACCTTTAGTATTTCTCGCACGTAGGGAAACCTTGTGTATTCTTTGTATGCTTTTTACATGTTTAAACATGTAAAAAAATGTATGTTGTACATACCATTCTGTTGTAAACGTGTACACTTCCTCATATTTTATTGTTCAGCATAGATAAAGCATGAAAATAATTATTTAAAATATACTTGTATTTATACCTCAGATATTCTTTTTGGGGTGTGGGCAGATTGTACCTCAAGTTGTCTACCCTGCCCATCCTCCATGTAAATACATTCTATACCATGAAGGTCTAAGTAAAATGGAAGAAAGGTTTATAACTTGCTATTGTATGTCTGTACAGAATATAATCAATAAATGCACTATTAAATGTTTATGTTCGTGAGACACCTGAACTCTATGCATTTTGTATTTCCTGGTTCCCATGAAAGTTCTGGAAATGTGTAGTCTAAGCCAATGCGAGGCAACAAACCAGGGATTTGATTCTGGGACCAAACTGACAGTGTGCAATGCCCAGTGCACACTGTCACAGTTACAACCTCTGAAGAAGCATTTCCAGTGATCAAAAGCTACCTCCTCCCTGGGTAGGCTTCACCAGTTTGAAGTTCCTCAAAATGTTTACCTGAAAGCTGCTTTCCTGCAGCTTTCAACCAGTGCTTCTAGTCCCACCCTCTGGAACAACTGGAAGACAAGTCTCCCACATCTTCTGTCTGATACCCTTTCAGATATGTGAAGACCACCATAACGCCTTCCCTGAATCTTCTCCAGCTAACAATATTCAATTCTTTTCACCACTGTAATAAGACTTGGTTTCCAGTCCCTTCACCATCCTGGTTACTATTCCGAGGATATGGGTCAGTTTGTTAATGTCCTAAGAATGTGATCTGGACATGGCACACAAATACGATCTGAGTGACACAAAATAGAACACAACTGGTATTTCTCATAACCTGCAACACTTCTGTAGATGCAGCCTAATATTGCATTGGCTTTCTTAGCAGCGGCATCACACTGCTGGCTCATATTCAGCTTGTGATTATAGTCATGTTAGCAGTTTGCATGTTTGAAAGAAACAAACCTTTTCACTGAAATACAATCCTATGCCAAGGTCTCTGACTGTTAAATATGCACATGTGAACCAGCTGTTCATACTCCATCTTAAGTGGTCTGTGGACTAGCTTGCAAGTTTCAGTATTTCAAATGGAATCAATGCAACACTTCATTAGATTCCAATCCAGCAAAACTCTGGGAAGCCTGTATCCCAAATTAGTCCATCTATTACTGGTAGAGCTATTAAAAAGGTTTTCATCGCAGAAAGGAAGCAGTGTTGCTCCGTCCAGGAAATGTGTAGGTTCCTTCAAAACAAAAGGACAAAGGACTAAAGTGGAGAAAGTTTAATGCTTGTGCTGCAAAGGAAGGAAGCAAAAACTGGAACACTGGGCTTCATGTGTCACGTTGAATAGGCTAAAAGCTCGAGGAAAGTCAGCTGCAACATTTTAGAAGACAGCAGTCAATTGAAGTAGCTCTACTTTTTTCTCCTTTTTTGTGCTTCGGAAAGAGAGATTCCATTTTCTTCCCTTGTGGCATCGTTCTGAATGCCACATCAATAATTAAGTCACTGCTCTTGTGTGCCAAAGAAGGCGTCCCTTTCTGCTGCTTAATTCTCCAGCTGTGCATCCAAAGAAAAGTTGAAGCACCCCACTTCCCCATCATTTGAATGGGCATCTCTTCCCAACAGAGAGCAGCCAAAAGAGATGATTAAAGGAACTGGCCACTAGATGGGTAACTTGCTTAAAACTAATTGTGATGCTTGGGGAGAGTTTTTTGCACTATGAGTTAACTTTGGTTAATCTGGCAATTTTTTTTTCCAGAGGCTAAACTTGGTATCTCCAAATAGGCAGAATGGAAGTGGTACTTAAGAGCACTTATCACCAGTGCTGGAGAGTTATGTGTTCCAGAATTAGAAAGGCAGAGCACTCGATCAAATCTTGAAAGGAGAAATACTTGGTGCAAAGTTGGAGCAACAGAAGCTGCTAAATGGTGGCATAGTATGCAACTGTATCTTTCACAGCAATTCACAAACCTTTGGAATATAGTTAAAGAATTCTTAAGAGGTCCAATATTGATCTCCTCAAATAATCATGTGAGAAGGAAGCAGATTTCGGAACTTCCTACTAATGCGGCACTGATTTGGAGAAAATAATGAAGCTTAGATTTGTTCTAACATATTCAGGAGTGTTTGCAGCACTTCCTATTCCCTATGTTAACCTCATAAAGTGCATTCATGTTATCTCCATTTTGTGGGAATAAAGGCTAGGAGAAAGGTGTGCTTCCTAAGGATACTACCTAATGGGCGTATTACTGAAATGAAATTTAGATTGGACGACTATATTATGCACAAAGTGCTGACTGTGTGTGCGAGTGTGTGTGTACATCTTTCTAATTGTTTTTATTGCCCCTCCATGAGCACTCATGGCAGTGTACAAATAAAAAGATTAAAGTACATAAGCTAGAAAAAAGCTAAACTTCTTAAACAATATAGCCAGGGATTCATATAAGCACAGGAAGTACCTTTCCATACGAAATGATGGTCTAAACAATTTTGCCTTTACCAGCACTTTAAAAGACAATAGAGAGGAATCAGGCCAGTATTCCCTGACAAGGAGTTCCACAACTGAGATGCTTCTACACAAAAGGCTCTGTCTGGACTACTCACCAACTTCACCTGATTAAGAAGAGGGCATGTAACAGCCTTGGATCACTAACAAAAGTTGCATGCAGAATGGGCAAAAACGGTGGGCAGGCATGCACAACACGAGAAGCCATGGTGAAAATTTACTGTTCTGCATCTGTGATGACCTCTTCCTGTGTGGTAGGATCAGTTTCTAAAACCCTGGAGAGATCAAGAATCTGTTATCAGGATTCCATGCTTCACTGCAATTCCCTGGTCATCCAATCCCTGGATCACCATTTTACCATTGTTGGTATGGAAGCACCATACAGTGTCCTGGCAAGAGCAGCTGCAGAAGTGACCACTTCTAGCCTTCGATCTCTACTGCCACCAGCTCCCTAGAAACAGATGTGTCCTCGCTTGCTTCATTCTCACTGGTGGAGCAACGTGTCTGCTTCCATTTACATTTAGAAACAGAGACAAAGCAAAAATGCACAGAGGGAGAAAGGGGCAGTTGGAGCTAAACTGTTTATTCTCATTTAATTAAAAAAAATCTCTGTGGGGCTGGAGCAGCTGGGAAGCAGTACAGACATGCAGCTGCACTTGGGACAGGGAAGAGGGGGACCCGCCTCCAGACCGCAGTGGACCTATTGGTGGCTATGGTTCCCAGGTGAGAGCAGACAGGCAGGATGCAGTTGGGGGTTTTTTGTTTGGTTGGTTGTTTTTGCAGGAACTCCTGGGATGCAGCCAGAAGGCAGAGTGGGAAATGTGGAAATTGCACTGCCCTGATAACCACATGATCATCTAACTGGTAAGTTTGGGCAAAAATCCAAAATTGTCTTTCAGAAAGCAATCCAAAAGAGCATGGGGCCTTTAAATAAGTACAAACACCTTGAACTGGGCTCAGAAACACATTGGAAGCCAAGGCAGACTAGCATGGTTTCCAAAACATATCACTGGATATGATCAGACATACTGCCGGCCACTGTAGATAGTGGTAAGAGAAGGCAACAAACTGCAAATTTTACAAAAGCTCAGTATCTGTTTTTAAAGCAGTGAAATTTAACTCCCTTTGTTAACACTTTATTAGATTGTTTTAAATTGCCCAGTACAAGGTCAGCGTGACCCCCACCTCCATTTCCTCCCTTTTAGATGTGCCCCTTCCTGCTCCATGCTGTCTAGTATCCAAAGAAGAAAGATTTCATGCAGATAAGATTTGCAAGATACCATGCAGATAAGTAAAAGCCATTGAGCAAGAGGGGAATAAAGACAGACATTTTTTAAAAAAATAGGAAAAACCTATGAAAAATGAAGACAGTCAAAGGGGATCGACACTTCCAGCCCCTTTAGGTTCTTCACTGGCCTGCGTAATACCAAGACCCACTCACATGCGGCCTCTGTCCTCCAGTTGTCTTTGTTCAGGCAAATGTCTTCCCTCAGGGAAAGACACAGATGGGGGAGCTGAGAAAACGATGGGTCTGTCCTTTTAAAATGTGGAAGAAGCAGAAGACCAGGCTTGCTTGTTCCTAGCCAGCACCTCCTCATTGTTTTGCCCTTTGTTATAA